TTGTAAATAATAAAGCCTGGTCGTTTGATGGCGGGGGGTATCGAAATGGGTGTGGGGTTTGACTAGAGGATTGGAGGCAGCTGGCACAGCTTTCACTAACTTACCTTACTTCCCCAGCCCATCCCCACAGGCAGCTCAGCAAGAAACATTTTTAGATGAATCTGCAAAGTACTCTTCAGTGACATAAGTAAACAAAGCCACTGTCTGCACAGACTGTTTATCTGAGTGGCCATCCTCTTTCTTGAATTGTCATTTATTTATTTTTGCGTTGAATATTATTCAAAAGGGTGGATTTAAAAAAATGATAACAGTAGTACTTGAAATACCTGAATACTGCTTATCTGGGGTTAATAAAATCAAGTTTACAAAAAGCCACAAATTGTAATAAGGCCAAGAAGTGACACATATTTCCTTTGCAGACATTATTGAAGATAATACAAAGTTTGACTCCGTATTAGCCATTACCTTTGCCCTTTTGCCTTAATGGCACAGAAAGATATAATCATTCTCAATATTATCAATATGTTAAAATTACAGTATTCGTTTCTGTAAATGTGTCTGTCATTCAATATGAGCTTACTATTCATCTGACACTTAATGCTTTGCTCTGTCGTAAAGTCACCATTATATGATATCTTAATATATTGGACATAAGGCTGAAGGAATCGATGCTAATGTAAAACTATCATTATAATGATATCTTAATATATTAGGCATTAGGCTGTAGCAGTCGATGCTAATGCTATCTTAATATATTAGGCATTAGGCTGTAGCAGTCGGTTCTAATACAAAGCTATCATTATATATCTTAATATATATTAGCCAGAATACTGTCTCAGTCGACGCTACTAGTATAAAGGACAAACAGTCTAATTTCTAATTTATATAAAAAAATAAAAATGATGTCATTTTAAAATTGTACATTTTCATGCATGAAATCCCAACGTAATAACATATATAATATCACAACTGAAGGTACTATAAAATGCCACATTTTAATGAAGCGAGGAATGGAACTTTAATGAATAAAAATCGAATGCATTTTTATAATACGATAATTTAAAAGAAATGTAAATATTTAAAAAGTGGGGTGCATGGACTCTCCCACACATGGGCGGGCGGCATTTGCGCCCCCCCCCTTAACCTTTTAACATGAATTTACCCACATTAAAAATTTAATGGCTGGCACTGCATAGTTCCACCACACCAAACAAAATTCTGCGGGCATCCTTGCGGGAAGAGTGGTCCGTAGGGGATGCGCTGTTTTGCTTGTGAGTAACGATCTCAAGTCTATTGCTCAGAGACTTAGGCATTGTTTTGTTATAGTCCTAAGTTTTAATTTGTTATATTTGCATTTCAGTGCTGAAAGTATGAATTCCAATTCGACCTTTTTGAACCAGGCTTTAACTACTTGCAAGAGAGAAGTCTTGCTTTCGGCAAATTCTTCTCAGGTCCCGAAGTAGGGTGGAGTGGAGCAAAGGGTCACATATCTGAAAATTTCAATAAAATTAAAAAGTGTCATTTTCGAAAATAATTTACGCAAGTGTGTGGTATACCTTCCAAAACTCAAGTGGGGGGGGGCAAAAGAGGAAAAGAGGATAGAAATGATAAACAAATTGGGCCATGTGCGAATAGTGCGGTGAATTTTGATGGTACAGAAAGACAACGAAGTTTTGCTCATCTTATAAACAAAATATATATAGGAAACAAACTGATTCTTATACGAATCCACCGTAATTTTTCCATATGCAACAAGTAAGAGATTACGTGTGAAGTTGTTTGAGTCACTATTATTTCATGCTAACAACTGGTAAGATATTTGGGGCTGTAATATATTTTACGACACATCAGGTGTATACGTACCTGAATCTTTGCATACAAAAAGGGCATAGAAGAAAGAAAAGATCACAGCTCATATACCCAACTATATTCCTTGAACTCAATCAATATTTGTAAATCTTTTTACCTTCAAATGGTATGTCGGTATCACATGGAGTGCAAGGTTGTAAGTCGCCTTTATCTACTACTTCTAATTTTGTAATATCACATTTGAGACGACATCCATGAAACATTTCACCTGTTTCTGACCTAAGATTCATGTTTCAGCCCTAAATACAAATGGTATTTTTAATTTTGTAAACTCGACTTTTTTGTTTAAAATTCTCCCATGTTTACATAACCTTGTCGATTTCTCTTTAAATTTTACAAATTATTTGCAACAAACAGTCCCACAACAAACTTTATTATAATACATGTATAATCGAATGCACCTTTCATCATGGGATACTCAAATCATAAACACAATTCTTCTTGTTGTTTTATCTTTGTTTTGTAACATAACTACAAGAATTTTGGTAGAAAGCACCATGCCATTTAATCCCTACTTCAACCTCCAATTTATATTAGTTCCAAGAATCTTTGCCAGAAGAACAATCACTTATATATATATATATGTATATATATATATATATATATATATATATATATATATGTATATAAATATATATATATATATATATAGGTATATATGTATATATGTATATATATATATATATATATATATATATATATATATATATATAGAGAGAGAGAGAGAGAGAGAGAGAGAGAGAGAGAGAGAGAGAGAGAGAGAGAGAGAGAGAGAGAGAGAGAAAGAGAGAGAGAGAGTGAGTGAGAGAGAGATACACACATTTATATATATATATATATATATATATATATATATATATATATATATATATATATATATATATATATATATATATATATATATATATGAACCTAATACTACAATAATACTGAATAGTAAATAATAATTATATATGTGGCCGTGAGTAAATGTAGTAACACGTGTGATCCTTTATCCTGGTGCTAGTCATATAAGGGTACTCCATATAGGCATGATCACAATCCAAGTTTTCGGAAATAGTCTCCAAGTTTCATTATTTCTTCATTACACACTTCTGCCTTCACTCTCTCGTCGTGAATTCCAACTAAAAGAAGAGCGTAAGAACGACAGACAGTACAGCCACAAAGTCCATCGCGCGCATATATACCGTTCTTCCCGTCTGCCAATTTGACCTCGTAGTGGTGTCCATTAACGTAGATTCCATTCCTGTATGCCACGTCAGGATATGTGCACCCTTCTATCATCTCTTCTAATTCATTGTTCTTTACTATCATTCCCTCGCTGCAGACGATAAGTCTTTTGGTTTTAAGGTCAAATATTGCTAACCTACATGGTGTGGAATCCACTAAGTTGTCGCTGATGTAGTTGTCCCAGAGTTTCATCAGGTACTCCTCCCTGAGCGTTGTGTCGTGACGTATTGCGACGTCAGTCGTCATTTCTGACAATGTAAAAATGACAAATAACTTAAACAAGTTAAATATCTTTCTTAAAATATCTTATTCCAGATTATTTATATATTATAATATTTGTTTCCTGTTACACGTACATGATACTGTTCCACTAACTGTACGCTGCTCCACAAAGGTGTATGATTTATTCCTGCATGTAATTCTAACGATCACTTGGAAGATCGTACTATGTGGTTGGCGCTGATACAGTAATCAAGAATCACACCAACGGATATAGAAGAGGTCAAATAATTACACTTAACTGCTTTCTGTGATTTTTAACTCCGTCCAAAATATTTTTTTCCAATGGCTTACGAAAAGTCTCATACTCATAACTTGTCCACCTATTCCATGCTCTGTATGTCCTACGTTTAATTCAAACTTGCTTCTCTCAAATTCGAATAAATTTTATAGGCGATATGTCTATTCAGCTATTATAAATGAGTCAATAAACATGGGCCTTGTATCCAGGGAAGCCTGAATGTTTTTCAATCCTTCATTTTCACCGCCATTGTCGCTGGCCGATTCGAGCTATTACGGCGAACAAAACATACCCGCCTATCAATGGAATACATTACTTGTCATCAATTTAGGTGTATAAAATTCTATTTTGACTTTGGTTCAAAGATCATGTGTTGGCATGTTCCATTTTTGCGTTATCCAAACACAGCTAATCGTTTAAGTGGTTTTGTTATTGATATTTGAGAATGACTTCAAGTACATACGTGAAACATTACAAAAGTCAACCGGCGAGGATACCTGTCAAAGATTTTTAGATTTTTATTTTTTATTTTTAGATGAATTCGGTCAACATAAATACATACAATTCGAAACGTAACGAGTTCGTATGGTCTCCATTGTATTATATTTTGTAGGTAATTCATTTTCTTTTTACCACATTCTCCAAGTTGATTAACTAAGAACTAAAGTAGTATTTTCTTGTTGATCCAATACTAGTCGAATTACGGTCGAGGCAGTAGCGGTAATGTGTATTGAATGAATGTTTATTGAATAAGCTGTTTCAATTTTGTATTTGTAAATGATCATCATTGATTGGGAACTAATCAGTAGTTAAATATAATTAAAACTAATTAATATTTACCTTAACAATTCAAGATTAAATTTGTAGGTTAACTAGTGAATAAAGACAATTAAACACGGGGTACCAAATTGGACTACTCTTATAGTCATACAAACTTGTGTAAAAGAACTGGATGACGGGGGAAAAGGAAAAAGTCAATATTTTTAATGAGAAACAGTTATGTATGGATTTTAATCATTTAAGTGTCAAGAGCAAAATCTGCGAATATATGGAGACAATTTAATAGACGCACACTTTATTGACTCTAATGGCGACTTGGTTACACAGTGTGCATATTGCAAATGTGTTAATCGCAGAAATGTTGTTTAATTTTGATTACACGAAAATATCAGAAGTGACAGTCTATAGATAGAATCATGCCTGTCCGTCCATGTGGCTTATATGTATATCTCGACATATATATCATTTAATTTCTATGCTGGTCTACAGTATCAAACATGCCAAGAAACTACGTTATATTTTAGATATTAATGTTCAAAATTTTGTTTGACACTACATACAGCGAGGCAGCTGTTAGTATCATTTTTATGAGTATCTGGCATGACTTTCACAGGGTTCGAACCCGCGACCTCCCGCATCCAAGGCAGATACTCTAACGACTAGGCCACTGGAGCGATCTCAATAAATAGGTAATTACTAGTATATCATATTGGTATGATGATTATTTAAAATAATTGAAGATTGATCAGAAAGTCAAACGATCAAGTTATCATTTTTTGTTTCCATAATCGAATATAACCTAGTAGTTAGAGAGTCCGCCTCAGATGCGGGATGTCGTGGGTTCGAACCCCGGCTGAGTCATACCAAAGACTTACAAAAAATGGTGCTAACAGCTGCCTCCCTTGGCGCTCAGCATTAACAGGTTAGTGTTAGGACTGGTTGTCCTGGTGTCAGGATAATGTGATTAGGTTGGACATCATGCCATATGTCTGCGCATGATGCCAAAGTGCCAGACATCACTATAAAACTGTCACACTGCAGACATATTAGCGATATGACGGAAAAATTGTTAAAGCTACGTTAAAAATCTAAATCACACACACACACACACACACACACACACACACACACACACTTTGTAAAACGATGCATCTCAGCGAGTAATACACATTCATCACAAAACTAGGTAAACTTGGCCCATATTTTACGATTCATTTACTTCGGTTAATTTGTAAGTTTTCAAGTATATTTCTTATGTCATGTTCATGATAGAATCAGCAAAATAGATCGTAGTATGAGTCTCTAATAGCTTTACACCATTACAAGAAAAGAAAATTGAATTGATTTAACATTACATACTGTAATAAAATTAAGGTTTTATCGCTCCGTTTATGCAATTCTTAGGTTTGTGTGATTACTTGTTTGATTATTGGAATTCGGTGTAATGGGAAATATTCCTTAGCCCAGAATAATTAGCCAATTATTAAGAGCAAACGTCACAGACAGAAAGTGTTAGTGAATTTCCATGATGCCATGGTCAATGAATAGCGAATTCAGACCCAATCCGCATGATTGTCTCTGTCGTGATGTAATACTTTATAAAATCTAGTGGTGTACATTGGATTTGTGACTGCAGTGGCAGTATTTATGGCAGAGAACAGGTAAATTACACAATGGAATAAATGAGAAGGGACTCGGCAGATACCGTTTATGTCGCCATGGTGGCAAATGTGGTGTAGTTTTGCTGGTGTGATGTGCCTTGAAACCATAGATTGATTGGCCCAATGTAGCGTAGTCAAAATAGTCCCCTCTTTTAGGGATAGTTGTAGAGTTTCTACGGTGTGAACTACTGATGGAACGGAAAGTTGATGTCGAGAAACTATGCGGATGTGCGGTTGATAGTTATTTGACAATTTGTAAATAATTTGGTCTTGTTTTGGTAAGAGTAAAATTTACGTATAGAATGGACACGTCGGGCTTTCCAACCTACAAATGAAGTTGTATAGCAGTCTTTGGAAATTTGTGGTAAATTTATTACTTCCAGCGGGATTCGCGCCAAGGTTTTGACACCGCTTGGTCAAGCAAAGACCCCTGGCGTGTAACATTATTTTACTGGCTTATTTTACTTGCGGGGTTTTCTTTGCGTTTAACTCATGACCAAATAATCTATCCGTGTTCGGTATGCCTACTATTATATTTAGAATAATGAAAATGGTGGTAACAGGATGCGTCTTGATGAGTTCTCTACCCACTTCAAAAACTTGAGCATGTGTGACCCCAATTTAAGTTTAAAGTGGGTCATTATGACCCATACAGTGAAAACTCGAAAACTAAATAAATTATCTTCAGTTCGTATGTGAGTAGGAAGTATGCAAGTGTAGAGGTAGGAAGGGTATAACTTGTTTGCATATATGTATATATTTGTGTTTGAATATCTTCACCATACTTAAAATATAAAGACATATAGACAAATAACATCAAGACATATAGACTAAAATGATCAAGACCTATAAACTAAAACATCAAGACATATAGACTAAAACATCAAGACATATAGACTAAAACATCAATACATAAAAGCTAAAAATAAAGACATATAGACTAAAACATCAAGACCAATAAACCAAAACATCAAGACATATAGACTAAAACATCAAGACATATAGAGTTTTGTTGTTGGTGTTGTTGTTGTTGGGCTTAACGCCATTTCTCAGCACACGATAGGCTATTCATGGCCGCCAGTATTAACGGTGGAGGAAGAAACCGGGAAATAACCGGAAAGAACCACCGACCCACAAAAAGCTACTGGCAAGCTTTCTCACATATCAACATTCGCCGAATCCTAGACTCGAACACATGCAGACAGAGGTGAGATGGCAGTGATCCGTAAGGGACAGCGCTTTAGACCACTAGGCCACTCAGGGCCACTGACATATAGACTAAAACATCATTACATATAGACTAAAAATATATAAAAAAATCATATAGACTCTAATATCAAGACCTAGAAACTTAAACGGCAGGACATATATACTAAAAACATCAAGACATATAGACTAAAACGTCAGAATATATCGACTAAAAACATCAAGTCATAAAGACTAAAATATCAAGACAATTATACTAAAATATCAAGATATATTAAACTAAAATATTAAGACATATAGACTAAAACATGACGACATATGAAACTAAAAAATCAAGGCATATATACTAAAACATCAAGACATATAGACTAAAAACATCACGACACAGGGACTGAAAATATCAAGAACGTCAAAACATTGAGACAATTGTAGTTTGAGTATATTCTCGTAAATAAAAATCACAAAAATCGAGGTTTCTTTTTACTGCACAATGTTTTGACGTGTTCATAAGTTGCAACGTGTTTGCACAAGAGTTTTGTCTTAAAGCATAAAGGCATAAAGGAAATTATTCTACCTTAAGGTATCTTGTTCTGTCTTTTACAGCATTCAGATACCTTTCCTACATAATTGTGTCCCAGTGTATATAGTTAAATAGTTATTTGCATTTCACTGTGATCTGTACAAAGCTGATGTGAATTTGTTATACAGCTCATGAGGTAAACGCATCTCTTCTACATTATCCACGAGATTCATATTCTGGATCGACCAAAGGAAGGTAACTACACTACAGATACTATCTGGAATAATTGTTTATACTCCTTTCCTGAAATTGCACATCAAAACTGAGACACTGTACATTGCTTACCCTGAAAATTTGTGAGTGGTTCCCTTTAGATATTTTGGACTATGGCGATCAAATACACTATCTGCAACGGTCGACTAACAATTTTATGATCTGACCAATCTGGTTAAAATCAGACTTACAATGTTATATATGAAGATCTTACAACAACCGCTTAAGGGTCATGTTCTGGTAACCTATGTTATTAGCATAATCACTAATTTCATCAACCAATCTGATGAAGTCTCATATCTTCATGTTAGGAGGCTGAGCAGTGTGGATAAAGAGCATGAATGTATACCGAACGGTTTTGGAACCGTAGGCCACGCGTATATGTCCCCAGTTCTTTCATTTTTCGTCCATGATGTCTAGATGCAGACCACAGGCTTAAAAGAAAGCTATTTGGTCTCCTTATTTTCCTCTTGCATCTAGTCTGGATGATCCAATCTTCTAAATTTGTCCTGCGTTTTCATTAAGTTAGTATTGAGGCAGTAAAATTGCATCTCCCTCTTCTTCTGCTCCATTACACTTTTCTCCTCTGCCAAAGCAGCGTTTATATTTAAAAGTTCTTCTTCCGCCACCTCTCTAACGAACATCTTGGTTGTCGTAAGTGAGATCACATTTCCTCTGTCTTTTCAATGAGGTGTTCCATCTTCTCCATGAAACTGATGGCTTCTTTTAATTCTCTCACTTTACAAGGTTGGATAGTAGACATTCTTCTAGTTAATACGATCGGCGATGAATAGTATTACTTACTTATCTAAGTTTTCTTGGATTATATTCGCGTCCTACCAGTGACATATGCGACTGGTTACCGCGTACTATTAATTTTACACCAGTTGATGGAAGGGGGGGGAGCACCCATCTGTCATTTAACACAGATTTCGGTTAACAAATCCCAGTTAACACAACCCAAAAATATTTTTGTGTTCCTAATCGTGTGAAATATATGCTAGAGCGGGATTTAAGACCGGTTGTCCAGTGAATATTAAAAGAGTTCTTAGCGAATTAAGCGTTCCAAACCGAAAGGAATACCTTTAGGCAATTGTGTAATTATTTTAGCACTTTTAAGGGCTGAGATTGACCCATATCGGGGGGCACATGAATAGTCTCAGTCTGCTGGGCACCTTGGTGCTATCAGGGTCAATAAGGTCAGCTACTATTAAGGTGCTCATTGGAGGCCAGTGTGATGCGTCAGTTCGGTAATTAGTATATCTATATCAGAGAAATCGAGATCAGCACCTCGAGAGGAGGAGATACACTAGATTTCTCCAAGTTTTCGAATGTTGTCTGCTGAAATTCTGGCGCGGTCTCTTGTGTTTCTTAATATCCAGCCGTCACATTTTAGGTTTTTTTGACTGTTAATACTGTCCTCATGTACTACATGTGCCGCCCATCCTTGTCCCTGTCTTCCACTATGTTATTTATTCTCAGGTCACTTGCCTGGTCAAGTAGGTACTAGTTCCATGATAAAACAGATTATAGCAGCCAAGAAGTTCGTCACACTAAACTCCGACTGTGGATTCGGTGTTGTAAGATGTGGGTGAATTTTACGCGCAGCCACTTCTTGAGTTTTATGACTTATTTACCCTGACATTTGAGTGCTTGTTAATTTGCTATTATTGCTCGTAGTGGTTGGGGGTAATTATTTCAACGTTTTGAGTTCGGAAATCGTCTTGAAACTCTTGTTTATTTTTCCTTCCTCCTTCTTCTCTTCATCTCTTTCCTGCCTTGTCACCAAAAATGATGGAATTTATACAGGTATCATAGGATGTTGCTTTCTAGTTTCCAAATTCGTAGCTAGGGGTGGGGTATATGTTGGAATTGTCTGTGTTGTTTGTGCCTTATCTTCCTATTGGGTACCTTTGGAGTGGAGATTCAGCTGTTGGCCTGCATTGGTTTTTCTATCATTGATTGCAGTCTTCATCTGGTTGGTCCGGGGAGGGGGGCGGCTTTAGTTTAGTTTCTATTATCTCCCCATATTAGGAGAAAAGTGGTTCTCTTCTTCTGGGCTCTTAATATCCACCCTAAAGTTGTGCTCAGACCATGGTCTTTCAATGTGCGTCTGTGGCACCTTTCATTTCTTCCACTTCTTCTTGTCGTCGATCACATGTTTCCAGTCAAGAGAACAAGTTGATTGGAAAATATCTAAA